TCCCAAAGTACAAATGACAGAGAATATTGCTATATTGACCCACCCTCTGTCCAACCCATGCTATTATGGTTGTACCTAATGGCCAGGTATGTCAATAAAATGTTGACTTTTTGTTGAATTGAGTAATACAAAATGTTAAAGCTACTATTCCAGTGGCTAAAAAATATGCAGTATAATAATTAAGGTTGCATGGCGCGTAATTTTGCGTAATTTACAACGTAAAATTACGTAATTTTACGCGTAATTTACGCTGTCAAAAATATTTTACGTAAAATTCAATTCAAGGAAAAATAAATAATGTCGTTTGTAATTTTGTTAATAAACGCCATTTGTTGTAGAATTCACACAAAAGACCGGAATCAATTTGTAATAAACGTGTGGAAAAATTAGTTCCAGCTCAATCTCTGTATAATAATCTATTCTAGTTCAAATTCTAATGATATCTATTAAGATTCTTCCGATCCTGATGATTCTGATCAGGGAAATGATAGTGAAATTGTAATAATAACTAATTATAACTGAGATTCTGATGTAAATTCCAGTGATATGTCATTTTAATAAAATTTTTGCTTATTTTTGATAAATTACGCTAAAATGTAAAATTATGTAATTTTACGTAAGTTTACGGGTAATTTTACGCTAAAAATAAATTACGCGTAATTTTGCATGCTTAACCATGGTCATTATTACAAGTGGAGCAGCAGCACCGGTTTTTGACTATCCTGATCCATGTGTGGTGTGAATTCACCAAGCTAGAAGTCAATACGACAATACCAGTTTACAATACCATTTATATCGTTTCAAAATAAATGAACCTGTTAATTATGTTTTATATAAAATATTATTTATTATTTATATTCAAGTCTATGAAAACAATAAACTAAAATGTTTTAAATCTAATAAACTATCACCTCAACGAAATTTTAAAAATTAATTAAATAATCAAGCTTGGCAAAACCAGTGGCATTTTTATATAATTGATTTTCCACATTTTAAGTCTTAAATTTATTTTTAAAATTAATAATAAAACTAAAAATGGCGTTTAAATAATATTAAATAACTTATTTAATTTATTTATTTAACAATAGTTTACAATGTAGTTACTATAAATTTAATTATGTAGTTATGTAGTAATTATGTTATAATGTAGTTAATGTTAGTTAGTTATTGTAAACTTTACATAGTATGACCACTCAGAAAATATAACCATGCGCATTTTTTAAAAACTTTTTTATTATAAATAATAAAACTGTAAATAATATAATAGATTAAATATGATATAAAATAACTCTTTAGACAGTATTGATTTAATGATATTTAATATTAAACAAATGGCATACAAATATTGCAATATTATAATTATGGAATAAAATGTCAAAGGTCATTATGTAACAATGAAACATTTTAATATACTCAACTATATAATATGCCACATATTATATATTTAATTATAAGTTATATAGTATATTAGGTTTATGATCAAAAAACACGTAACATAGTGTTACAGTGTTATATTATTTAAATAAATTTTTTAAATACAAAGGTTATTATATTACAATTCAGACAATAAAATGAATTGATGTAATATTATATCAAATACGCTAATTAAATGTTGATGGTAATTGTGTCATTTCAATAAATAATTTATTCATTATTTCATTATTAGGCTTTTTAATTATGAATTAATAAATTATTCATATTTATTGATTGACCCAATATATAAAATAAGCTACGAATATGCATAGAAATTGTTAATTTTTGTATAATATAATATAATATTGAATAAAAAAGTTATCAAACTTTATATAACTTGATAAAAATGGGGTTAAAAGTTAAGTCCCTATTATCGGGAAAACTGTGCGTTAGACTCGTTATTATCGGGCTATTTGTGTACCAAATATGCGACCAAACGGTTCACTATTTAGAGTACGAAGTGATCAATGGTTTACGATTTGACCGAAACTCAAGCCATTGGCTCTACCGGTCGGCGCTTACCATATGCCTCGACCCCCGGGAACACCTGTTTTGGCCAAAACTAGCTCAGCTGCACAAGTCATTGGCCCGTTTGCAGCTGTATTTGGATATCTATTGTAGAAATTTTGTCTTCTCAAAATTTGCTTTCTCCAAGTGCAACCGGCCATATATCCGGCACCTGCCGGACGGCGGCTACTGTTTAACGTATTTCAGCGGTTTGTCAGATGACCTCCAGGATGACAACCTTATTGGCCTTTTTCCATCTATCGATTTACGCGCTGCCGGTCCCGTACGGGTGGCCCTACACGAGGTGTATAGTCCGTCCCATTTCGCGCGACTCTACCATTTGAAAGGCACCGGATTGGGGTTCAAGGTTAATGTGGCGGCCGTACTCCACGGTTTACTGCCGGCCCCCTATCCGACCGACTGCGTCGACTATGAGGAGAACCGACGCCCGGGTAGTGTTGGCCCGAAATCCCGATCCGACTGTATGCTGGCTGTGATGGCACGGCTGGAGCGACAGACCTGCGGACACAACCTATACTGGGAAAACCGACAGTTAGCTATAGTTAGTCACTTTGTGGCCAACACTACCGGTGCCAACAATACCGGGTGTTTCGCCGCGCCCGACTTTCCGCTAATCCACCGAAAATGTAAAGTCGACTGCAATTACATTGCGACGGATGTGTCGGTGTATATGACGCGGGATACCCCGGGGTTAACGCGGACCAAGAAAATCTGGTTTGCGCACAAAATCCGACTGAAAATGGTGTGGACGTGTAGCCCGAAAATGGATTTAATCACTTATTTATCAACAGTGGGCGGACTCATGGGAATGTGGTTGGGTTACAGTGTCTACACTGTGGTCAGCGATACAATAGACGTGTTTATCCGTAAAACGCGTGCAATAGTGCACAACAGGCGCGTCACTGTCCGACAGTATCGCCGGAGTTATATCTATAGGATGTATATATACTCGCGATTTGTGGCACTAATCAGCTGCACGTGTCTAATGTGTTATCAAATATACGGCATTTGGAGTGATTATAACGACTACAACATTAAATACCAGATAGATGTTGCTGACCAGGTTCGTATTCCGCATTTGCAATTTTGTTTTAAACCGCTAGAAACTAGCCCTGGTCAGTATAACCGAGTCCTGGCCACCAATCGCATGGACGTGTTCCGTGCGCTGGTCTACGACTTCCGTCACAACTTAATCGACTGCTATTTTCTCATGAGTGGAGGCGCGCGACTGGACTGCCCCGTCTGGGACACAACCCTAGCGCCCGAACCGCACCGAGTCGTAATTGACTGGTATTTCGGTGAAATGTCTGACCAGTTTCGGGCACAACTGACAGACGGTGGCCGGCGTTTGGAGCGAATTGTGTGGCGGTACCGGACCCTAAGCGTTCAAGATATGTTCCTGTCTATAATGTCGAGCACTGGTTTTACCAGTATTTGGCTGGACATGAACGCCGAGACACACATCAGGTACACCACACAACTGTTTCAACGACTCGCGCGCCCGGGGTTTCCCTGTCGGGACAGTACGCCCGGCGACGACCTCTTTGCCAACAATTTGCGCAACAAATCAAGCGACGATTGTCGCATTCGCGTAATGAACGCCTCTTTCGGTTGCCTAACGCTTACGAGCTTGAACTACCAGGTGAGTGTGGATAGGCACCTGGTCTCAGGCGGGTATAGATTCTGTGCCATAGATAGTGTCTTCAATCAAACTCAATGGCAATATTTTCGGGCACATAACTGGTGTTACAATGTAATGGCTGAGTCGTGTCGTTACGTTCCCTTACAAACAAATACATTGCGCGTCAGGTCTAACCTCACGGACACCACTGAAATCCATTTAATACCCAATCATTATATTGAGCCACAAATCCGGGAACAGTTGGCTATGGACTACAACGACCTCATCTATAATATAGGGGGTACAGTAGGCATGTGGAGCGGACTNTACAACGACCTCATCTATAATATAGGGGGTACAGTAGGCATGTGGAGCGGACTGTCCATAATATCATTTTACACATTGTTTTTGCGATTATATATGAATGGTATCAAATTAATTATTGTGTTAAAACGCTTATACGGTAATCAATAGTTTGGTTGAATGTGACTATAATGGCTCGACCTGATCCCCGCTCAACTCACCATGGTAATTTATCGTACTCATTCACCGTAAATATCACAGTTGGGTACGCGTGAATGTTACGTTGTATTGATTTATTGATATTTATTAGATGTTAAAACTCAAGTACTTTCAGTCCTAATAAATGTTTATTTGAATGCAAAAAAATCAATTAAATAATTTAATTTGATTAATGTCTTCACAAATATATTATTCATTAGTACTAATCTGAAGCATTAAATCATTAATACTGTGCATTTTGGAGTGTTACTATATTTATTAAGGTTGCATGGAGCGTAATTTACAGTGTAAAATTACGTAATTTTACGCGTAATTTATGCTGTCAAAAATATTTTACGTAACTTTCAATTACAGTAAAATTCAATTCAAGAAAAATAAATAATATTGTTAATTTTATTGAAAATGCTTCTGTTGAAATAATATTCTCAATGCATTCAAGAATTTACACAAAAGACCGGATTACATTTAATAATAAACGTGTAAAAAATTAATTTCCATGCTATTTTTATATGATAGTTCAAACTCTAAAGAAATATAAGCAGATTTTTCTGATTCTGATCAGGGAAATGATAGTGACATAAGAATTATAACTAATTATGACTGTGATTCTTATAGAGATTCCATTGATATGTCATTTTAATAAAAATTTTGCTTATTTTGGCTTATTTTTGATAAATTACGCTAAAATGTAAAATTACGTAATATTACGTAAAATTACGCGTAATTGTGCATGGTTAATAATAATCAATACTCAATCAATGCTATGGACAGGGATCCCACTTCCATGGTGTCCATTAAATCGTAAGTTTGAGACAAAGTTTTCCATTGTCTGGCATTTATCCGATCCAACCACTCGTTAGCCTTAACCCATAATAAGTGTGTTTAGAAATTATGTTTCAAATAATTAATTCAATTTCAATTAATCTCAGATTAATTATTTTGTATTTTTTGGAAACAAATCATACCTTCACAAACACGGGCACCGACCTACTGGTCACTCCGTTCCCGTATCCATTATAAACGGATGTATGGATTAATTGGTTTATCAAACGATTTCTTAAATTGAAATATTTTGTCAATCAAATGGTTTTCTATATAAATCCGCACAACTCTAAGGCTTAAAATGGGCTCAACTTTCACTAGTGAACAATGGACAGGGAGCTCATTATAATGAATATTATGGGAGTCATTAAACAAATAATTCATTCATTAATGAGGAAATCAAATGAGTAGTCAAATGAAACGACTTATTATGAACTTGGTAATAATTTATTTTATTCATAATACAGTCATATTTATGCAGAATTATAAATTATGAATTATTATTTTTATAGATAATTATTGTCAATATGAGAATAACATAAGTAATATCTATTAACTCACCATGTTCATATTGAACAAAAAATAAACCATTAAAATTAATTATTATCTCTTAGTTTATTTATAAATATCGATAAATATTAATTAACTTAAATATTAAATCATTTCATTGCAAATTCAATGAAGTATCAGGGTTTAAAGGTATCAAGGTATTCCAACAAAAGCCATATAATAGCAATAATTATAATGAATATCATTAATACAACAAACATTATAATAAATGTCTTTAACATACAAGGCATGCCTTTTCCCTTTTTAGGCACCCGTTTACCGGAGACTTCCCCTTTGGAGATTTTGGTGTCGTTCCCCGACCCCTGTCCATCATTCAAGTCGACGGTCACAGCCAAATCAGGTGCCGGTGCCGTCAACACGGACTGCCTATCACTTGCGATATTAACCGAATCGATACTTTGACTCAATTGTCGTCTGTAATGCTGTCCCATAAAACATATACGACTGGGAGGTTCCGCATCTACCGGTGCCTCCACCACCATAACCGCCGGTTCCTTAGGAGCCACCCTTTCCATGATCTCTACTACCAGTGCTCGGAAATGCTTAGCTTCCGACTCATCCACAAACCTAAGGATAACCGACTTATACTTACCGACTATCCGGTGAACCACTGGCTCATCCGTGTCCACAGTATATGTGAACTCCGAGTCCTCATCGACTACCTGTGCCGTCAAAATGCGTTTGTAAACGCATTTACTTCGCCCCCAACTTATATCGTATACATGAATCGCGTGGTAATTATCCGCTCCGACTACCACACAGGCCACAGACTCCCGGCCCGCCCACGCGTTCTCCCGGTGCTTGAACTTAACGATAGCTGCGATCAGGGATCGACACCTGTCCTCACACAACAGCTCCGATAGGGTCTGCCGTCTTTCGGCGCCCAATAGTGGCGACCATTGGTTTTCCGTTTGGATGTCATCCTTAGGCTATAAGAAAAAGTTTTTTAGTTTTGTTTTAATAGTTTTAAGTGAATGGTTGGCATCACAGGTACCTCAGAGTGTGCTGTACCCTCCAGTCCCTGACCACCCGGTTCCTCAACATCCCCTCCCATCGCCAACTGATTGAACTGTCGTTTATAGACCATCAGTTGCTTCTCCTTATCGGCCATTGTCTGGAACACCATATCCTCGAAGTGTTTGGCCTCCACTTTGTTAATGAAATTCAGTCGCACCGGCTCTTCATCTCCCGGTGCCGTAAACTTCATATGCATGGGTCGGATATCCCTTTCCAATCCAGGTGTAGCCAAATCAACAAAACATACGACCTCATTGTGGGTCAAATCGTAAACACGTATGAAGTGCTGGCCATTAGTCCGGTGCCGCACCAGACATGCCATCAAAAGGGCGGGAATGGTATGTCCCGATTGAGGCCAGTGCTCGATGGCTGTGGTCGATAAGGACAGGCAGTCATCGGCGGATAATAAATTGAATAGAGTTTGGTTGGCTTCCGGGGTCAACAGAGTGGACGGTCTGTTGGCCGGGCGGTCTGTTTCGGGTAAATCTGTTAACATTTTATACGAAGTGATGGATTCAATTGAATAATAAATGCTTTTTTTGTGAACAAAGGGTTAGTTTTATTTTACTCAAAATATCATCTAGGTGTACGTGAGCGCAGTGATTAAAAATTAATATTAATATCGTATTAATCACTAAGTGTTTGTTCAGAATCAATTAATTTGAAACTAATAATTATTACTAATATTTTAGCAATATTTTAATAAAAGGATTAGTATTTGAAATTATTCATGGATTTTTATTTTTAAATATTATTAATTATGCATTCATATTTTATTACTGTTAATAGGTTAATAAATTATAATTTTTTAATCGGTAAGTGTTATTAGCAGGCTAAAATATGATAATAATAAGCGCTAAAATTAACTTTTGAAAAATTAGTTTTTATCTCAAAACATTTTAACCACTGCAAAAAACATTCATGCTCATCAATAATTAATAAAAACTAATTAAAAATTAAATCTAACAAACTTAACCCGGGCATATTATCACCAACAACTCGTACTAGCTGTACACACCCAGAGCACGTAGTTTATGAACAAGTTCAAATAAAAGTTTGTCGAATAAATAATGATGAAACACAGAGACTATAAATAATGTACCGATACTTAGGGCCCAAACTGAGAGGCATTCAATAGGATTCCCATTAACAGCACTGCAGTCAATACGAGTCGTAATGTATGGCTAATAGACAATACATTTGAGACACAATTCAATTGACGCATACATTGAGTGTTGAGTTGTTTGTGGCAAAGAAGTCACCGAAAGCTGGTCCGGGATGTCGATGGCATCGGTGGAGGACTCCTATGAGCGCGCTGTCATCGACGGCATCGTGTGGTATATGTGCCGACACTGCTGTGACTGCCAAAGACATGTCGCAGATATTGTCAGACATATCACTGACAAACACTTGCGTCCAACTGGTGGTGATGTCGAGGACAGGCGTCCCATCAGTCTGTCCAGTGATGGCCATAATAAGTGTCTGAAGACTGCGTCGAGTGATCGCCCGTTGAAGCGAAGCGCGGATCAGATGAGTGCCAAAGTGGTGACACCAATGAGTGGTCAGTCCTCGAGATCACCTGCGGATCAGTTGGCCAGACAGCCGAGGGATTCAACGAGTGGTCAACCGTTGAAGCGAAGCGCGGATCAGATAAGTGCCAAAGAGAGGGACAAAGAGTCGACAAGTGGTCGGACATCAAACCGATTGACGCCTGAAATGCGCGAACAATTGTTGAGACAAATCGGCTCAAGAAGTGGTCAGTCGTCGGATCGACCGAAGGATCAGATGAGAGATAATGAGTGGAAACAACCGAAGAGTTCAACGAGCGGTCAGTCTTTGAGCTCATCTAAAGTCCAGCCATCGACTAGTCTTCCAAAGAACCCATCGAGTGATCAGTCCTTGAATTCAATGAAACACCAAATGGTTGGACACTCGAAGAGCTCATCGAGTGGTGAGTCCTCGAGACGACCAGTGGATCAGATGAGACCCAATGAGTTAAGACAACCGACTCGTGAAACGAGTGGTCAGTCCTCGAGTTTTACAAAAACTCAAATAAGACATCCAGTGGTTAGTCATACAAAGAGTTCATCGAGTGGTCAGTCCTTTAGTTCATCTAAACACCAAATGCGAGACCAAATGGTTGGACATTCATTCGGAAGTAGCTCAACACTCAGCAGCTCTGCTGGTCACCTAGTCTACTCCCTGTTACACAACTCCGTTAGCTGAGTATTTTGGTCACCGGTAAGGAGCTCATGTAGCGCTCTGGTTAGGATATCGGATCAAAAGTACTCAACTAGTGGTCAGCCCTCGAGTTCTCCAAAACCTCAAATGAGAGACCAAATGGTTGGACACTCGAAGAGGTCATCGGGTGGTGAGCCGTTGAAACGACCAGAGGATCAGCTGAGAGACAATGTGTTTAGACGATTGACACGTGAAAAGAGTGGTTATTCTTCGAGTTCATCGCCAGAGCAACCCGTTAGTCATCCCAAGTACTCAACTAGTGGTCAGTCCTTAAGATCACCAAAAATTCAATTAAGAGACCAAATGAGTAGTCATCCAAAGAGTTCAACGAGTGGTCAGTCACTGAAACGACCAGCAGAAGTCTACTCTCCGTTACTCAATTCTGTTAGTTGAGTACATTTCTCACCGGTAAGGAGCTCAAGTAGCTCTCTAATGTAAGCTCTGGTTCACTAATCTCAAGTAGGCTTCTCGAGTAGGTCACCAGTCCCATTGCGAGTGAAGTGTCATTCAGTGAACACATCGATGAAACTGAAGACTAAACACGAGACGAAGAGCGCACAGACTGTGAGGGAATCTAAGCCACAGACGACTACCAGTGCTGTCACTAATGATCACAAACAAGATGGCGGTGCGGCTGAAGAAGTGGACGCCAATGACATCGCAGACTCGAAGCGATTTAAATGCACCGAAAATGGCTGTAAAAAGACATTTGGTTTCATGAAGTCATTGCTGATCCACCGCAAGAAACACGACCTAAAAGTGGACAAAACGACCGCCAATTTCACAGCCAATAGACCTACCGGTGCGGCCATTGTCAAGACATTTGCACCGAAAGTAACGGCTAATCCCTGGGCTTCGGGTTACCTACGGATCGGCAACAAGTGGTATAAAGTGCGTCGACTGACTGACCGGAGTCTCTACCGGCATGAGAAGGAGTCGCATCGGGGGGACGAGAACTACCGGGGCTTACAGTCGCTGAAACACTTAAAGGGCTGGTATTTGATGGACATCGTCGACGGACAGAAGTGGTATTTGTGTCGATACAAGCTATGCGCCGGCGGTTTTTGCTCGTTTAAGACTATCAGGTCTCAACATATGGGCCGTCATATAAACTGTTCGCACTTCCGGAACCGCCAGTTCCCGTGCC